GAATCAACTTTCAACAAAATTAAGCCTTGTCCCATTAATAATCTCTCAACATCCTATAGGTTGATATCCTACAGCGTTATATGATAGATACATTCTTAAAGATATTTTTAATCGGAAGTTTTAAATGTATAATGGAATACATGAAGTATGACTATTTTACCTTTATATTCTGATTGTGATTTTCAGGAAACTCTACTGACATATCCATTGAAAAATCAACGGTTGGTTTTTCTTCTTTAGATAGCTGAATATTTCCAGAATTGTCAAGAATGGGCTGATCCTGTTTTTTTATAAGTGGCAGTTTCATTTCCTATAAAAAAATTAATGTCATAAAATTTAATGCTTATAATTTTTATGCTAAGATATAGTTACCAACAATAAATGAACATAACATATTCTATATATTTTCAAATATGAGCATTTCCCATAAAACACCTGTCTCAAATTAAGAATAATAGAATAATTTAATAATTTAAAATCAAAACTTATTAAAGGTCTGCTTTTATGAAGCACTATGCTAAATAAGGCTCAGTGTATGTTCTCAAGGAGCTTGAAACCTAGTAGGCAAAATGCTCAGGTTATTCTTTAATGATAAAAGAATTTCAATAGAAAGCTGTATGCTGTATGTCCATACAAAAACTTGTACATGAATGTTCACAGCAACATTATTCATAACAGTCAAAAAGGTGGAAAGAAACCAAATGTACATCAACTGATCAATGAATAAAATGTGGTATACCCATACAATAGACTGTTATTTGCCAATAAAAAGGAATGAAGTAGTACTAACATTAGCTACAACATGGATGAACCCTGAAAACATTACACAGTGAAAAAGGCCATAAAAGACCACATATTATATGACTCCACTTATGTGAACTATCCAGGACAGGCAAATCTATAGACATAAAGTGGATCAGTGGTTGCCGAGGGCTGGAGAGGTTGGAAGAAAGTGGGGAGTGACTGCTAATGGGTGCAGAGTTTCTTTATGAGGTGATAAAAATGTTCTAAAGTTGATTATGGTGATGGCTGCACAACTCTGAATATACTAAAACCCCCAGCATTATACACTTTGAATGAGTGAATTATAGAGTATGTGAATTATATCTCAATGAAGCTGCTACAAAAACGACAACACAAAACTTACGAGCTGAGTTTTTGGGATAAACTTTCTCCATCTTTTATTCAGCCTTCTCAGTTCTTTAGAAATATCTGATCCAACTTCATCATTGCTGACTTGAATTAAGAAATTTCCAACTTCGTTTAAAGTAGTATGTTCTAGATTCCACTGGGATAGTGTTTCAAAGGGAATCTATGTAACATATAAGCAACATAATATTTTAATGACAAAATATTTGTCTTTCTATTACCCATAATAGATCTTTTCCAAGGTTGATTCGGAGTGCAAGGTTTTGCAGAGACTCTGACCCGTCCCTTAGAGGGTTCCCCCAGCCCTACTGGTCTAGCTCTTCATCCCTAATCACTAACTGGCAGGCGCCAGCTATTTGTCATCACTCTAGGTCCTGGACTTTTAGGAAGCATCTAACCTAGCTTTCGAAATGGTTGATGGATAAGCTTGAAGCAAAGATTCTCAAACTTTCTCAGTTCATGGTGCCTTTCACGTCTCAGTAAATTTTTTCATGGATTCCCTAGGTCAGAGGAATGATCTAAAAATTTTCATTTTTAAGTAGTCAGAGCCAAACAACTTAGTAGTAATTTGCATAGTGTCCAAGAGACAGATGTTGCTGTGTCTCCCTCAAAATTTAAATTCTCTTGAGAGTCTCTTTGGCAGCTCATAGCACCTTGGCACAGAGTTTGGAAACTGTTAAGGCTTACAGCGTTATTCTTCTCAGAGTTATGTGAATTTTAATAAAAGGCCTTTAAAGAAAAACTGCTAAAAGCCAAACATTTGAATTTCTAGTATCAATATAGGTGACAGGGATAAACTATGACTCACTAAGCCCTCAAATATTCCTTTGGCTCTCACACACTTACACAAATTTAACTTTCATATAAGCAGCCTATTTTCTGTTGAGCAATTTTAGTTTCTACTGGAAAATGTTTAATCTGAGAGAATATCTCTAGCCATTTGCAACACAGGGAAATAAATGAAAGAGAAAAACTACCTCAGAATATTCATAAAATGGATTATTACAAGAATAGCAAATGGAAACATTAATCATATTGAAATTTCTTCCACAGCTCTCCACAGAAATCAAAAGTATTTTGTTTTTCCATCTCTAGAAACTCAGGAAGGTTTTAGAGCTCAAAGGTATTCACCCAAATGGAAAAATTAAACTTTTTAAAATATTAATTTAAGTGTCTCTATGCTTTCTAGTACTCCAAGTCTTTTATTTTCTTGCCAAAGAACGTAGCAGTATAACTTCCTAAAATTATGCTGTGTATGTGAATTATACCTCAATAAAGTTGTGTGTGTGTGTGTTTGTAAAACCTATAATGAGAAAACTTCCTTTTGGCAGTTATATTAGGGAGAAACTAAACTCTTTCTAGACCTTGGAGAATTTTCCAACAGTCGTGCTTTCTCTTCCCTAGACTCTAATTTTTGGATTGAAAATGAGGATCACAAACAAAACAAAACAAAACGAAGAGTGCAATTGAGCAGATGCCATTAGACTGCAAATACCTCTTTAATTTGTTCCTTTTTTGTCTCTTCAAAACAGGCCTTTAGTAAGCAAAGCTTTTCCATGTAAGTAGTCCAAGATGTGAGAACATTTTGCAGAGTGGACTTCATATTATATATACTTTTTCTATACGTAGTGATATTATATTCCACCATCATATATTGTTCGCTGATACTCTGATATTCTCCACCTATGTTAAAACAACAAAGTTATCTTAGAAAACAGTTTTTCATTAATAATACTGTTAAGAAAAATATTTGTATATTAATTAACANGTTTCCAAACTCCAGGGCAATCCTCCTCTCTTCTCTGTCCTCCCACTGACCACTTGGTTTTAGACTAAAATCACTAAATAGAGAATATTAAAGAGACCTGAACTTTCTCTTTAGCTTCTTGAATCTTTGTCTGAAGTCCAGCTGTGAGAACATGTTGGAGGGACTCCTGGCTTGAAACATTTTGTACATCCATTTGTAAAGTGTCTTCCATTCTAGACACAAGCTCTTCATACATGGAGCCTTTGGCAATAAGATGCTATTAAAACAAATTAAAGCAAGATCACAATAAACATTCTGATTATATGTTAAACATTAACCTTAACACTCTCATCAGAAAATCATAAAAACTTAACTATTAATCCAAAATGAGGCAAATTTATATTCTAAAAAGTGTTATTTTAAAAATTCATTTTGAAATCTTATATTAATGCAATCAGATTCTGAGCAATGTAGTCTTTTATAGATTATTGTTTATATAGTAAGCACTTCAATTTAAAAAAAGACAGGAAGTAATACAATGCCAATAGAGAAAATAATTTGAGAGTACCGTAATAAACCTTAAAATTAAGCTCTACGTCAAAATGGTTGGAAAGGAATTTAATAAATGTTACTGGAGAAAATGACTATTGCAAAATAATCTGTTTAGAACCATGTTTCATACAACATATCAAAAGTAAATTTCAGATGTATCAGAAAGTTATATATAAAATCTGAAACTACAAAAAGAAGAAATTATCCAAGAAAACGGATCTGTTTTTGAGGTGTGGAGGGCCTTTTTAGACATAAGAGTAGGGATAGAAATGACTACATAAATATAAAAATTTTCTATGTAAAATAAAGCAAACAACTTGAAAGTCAACAACTTGGAAAAAATATTTGCTACATAAATGAAAATGAGTCATGATTCAAAGAGCTTATAAGTTCAATAAGAAAAATACTAAGATCCCAAAGAAAACTCAGAAAATACAAGAACGGTTTAGTCACAGAAAATAAAAGGGCTAATGAATTTATAAAAGACAGTTCAATCTTAGATGTATTCAAATAAATACAAATTAAAATAATGAGGTATCACTTTTCAGTTATCAAATTTGCAAAAAAATATTTTTTTACTTACAACTCAAAGGTGGCATGGGTATAAAACAGAAATTATACTGTATGATATCAACTATATAAATGTTGATCTTATTTACCTCAGAGCAGTGGAATTAAGGTGATTTTAATTTTCTTTATACTTTAATGCATTATTTAAATATCTCAAATTAGCACATTCATTTATAATTTCCATTTTTTCAATTTTGAAAGTACCAAAAGCTCATATAAAACACTTGACCAAGAATAGAAAGGTACAGCATGTAAAGAAAAAGTGCCTCTTCTTCCCCATCCCTCCCTTAGTTGTCATTTAATTAACCATTCACACATTTATTTAAAAAACATTTTCCATATACTACCTACCAGGAAATGTGCTAAGATTCGGGCATAATACAGGATCAAGATAGACAGAGTTACTTATTTGTATACCCTTACATACATTTTTCTATGAATATAAACGCATCAAGTATAAAAAGCAACTGTTTTGAAAAAGCACTAAAAGGATCACATCACCTGTGCTGTTCAGCAATGTGCATTTCTTACTTTATAATATATCTTGATTCAATAAAGATCTACTTAATTCCTTCTTAACAAGTGTATTCTAGCATGTTTGTATTTTCACTGTTTATAAGAAAGATCATTGCTATTTTTTTGAAATGTTTTTAGATATTAAATTTCTCATTTCTCATTCAATTCTTTTACTGAAATAAATTTCAGATACAGCAAATAAATACACAGAAATATAAAATTAGAAAAGCACCAGCAGATGGCACAGGTAAGTCTATATAATATTTTGAAAGCAATAAAAAGCATCATTCTTATAAACCATGAAAACACAAAAGGCTATATATACAATTTTCAGAAATGTAGATTTTGTAAAATTACATAAATGGTCTTGTATTCCGGGAACTTTCCCTCTTGTAATTTATGACATGCTCCATAAGTTTTATAGCTGCACTTGGAACTCAGTAAAAACCACAATTGTAACTTCATTTCCAGGAGAACTGAGTGATATTAAAACACACTCTTGCCTCATTGCTTTTCTGTGAATCGACTGCCTGAGAATAAAGACAGAACGGAGTTTGTAACAACATCCGCCATCCTCCCTACATCAAGTAAATAAGGGAAAGTGCTTTAATCAGTGGATGAGCTTTCAAAGCATAGATCGTATAATCTCTTATATTCACATGCATTGAACTATTATTGTATATGAGCCCGAACTCATTCATCTCCTCATCGCTCTGATACAAGAGAAAATTTTAATCTCTATTCTGTAGCTGGGAAAATTAGCAAGAACTTAGAATCATAAGGTATTATTAGTGGTCTTCTAATCCTCTAATCTATCTTTAAGCAAAATTACAGCAAATGATTCAGGGGTGAGAATCCATGCCATTTAAAAACTCCCAGCAAAGACAATTCAAACAATAGTCATATTACTCTTTACTCTAAAACTTCTTATTTATCTTCATGCATAACTCTACACCCATGAAAGCTGTCCTTATAATACTTTTACACTCATACCTGCAAAGATTCTTCCGTTGCAGCATCTACATCATCTTGATGTCTCAGAAGATCTAAAACAGCTTTGGTTTCTGCCTCCCAGGTTTTCACTTGTCCAATGAGTTTTTCAACCTCTTCAACAACTTTCAGTTGCCCAGTGAGTTCTTCGTTTTCTTTTTCATGTTCTTCCCCAGCCTACAACATTCAAAATGATCACTAAGAAAATGGCAACATTTACATTATAAAATAATATTAATTTTAAAAAAGTTATATCTTTTTTTTCCTGAAGAGTGCTAATTCAACATATTTTAATGGTTTTAAGACTTAGTTTTTGGACAATGATAATAACACTTTGTGATAGAATAAAATATATATATATATATATATATATATATATATATCTCACTTAAATATTAAAAGGTTT